ATTAGCATTTCACTATTATTTATGCGTTTTTACATATATGCAAATTGCAAAAACGCGTACTGGGAAGAGGCTGTGTGCGTGTGCCTGTGTCTGTGTGTTCTCACTTTCTGTCACCTACTTTCAACTTGAGAATTAGAAAAGATAGAAGGCTGAAACCTTGGGACTATGTGCTCATACCACGCGCGACCCTCCCGTTTTAATTTCATCCTCCGCGGACGCCTGGGTGCCGCGTACAGATGCTTTAAAGAAATATGCAAATTTTTGGCGGGAAATCGATCTCGGGAACCACACGAGCTAAGGGGCTAAAACTTTGTAGGGATATTCCTTGTGTATGTACTAGCTAGAGTTTTCAAATTCAGCCCTCAGCTATGCGTGGTACTCACGTAAGGGCGTATGAAATTTCCTACGGAAAAATTATTAACTCGGTAACCAGAAAGGCTAGAAAGCTGTAATTTTAGGGCAATGTTCCCTGTCCAAGTACAACTTAATTATTTTAAAAATTCAGTCTTGAGATATGCGTGGTTCTTACTTACAGACACTTAAAGTTTTGGCGAAAAAATTTCTCACTGGACAGCTAGGTTACTCTTGAAGAAAGATCATTAAATAAAAATTGTACATTTACTTTACGCAAGATTTATGGTGATTTACGCTAGTGACCACAAAAGGTAGGTATAAAACAACAATCATTCTTGCAGTTAGTGATCTAAGCACTTCAAGTCCGGTGCGAAAAACGTATGACCGTACAGGCCCGCCCGGTGCGCTCCAGTCTGGTTACGTTTGTTGCAGCAGCGATATCTCAGAAGCCATGGAAATGCTAATTATGTTCAGTGCTTAAATTACCCTAACCAGGCCATTTATGTCATTTTGCTGCTCAGGTTTGCTTTCAGCTGGTTCATTCTTCAATTCTATCCGTGTTTGGATTCAAGAAGTGCATCTACTCTGCTAACTATGTGAAGGGCTCATAGCATATATGGTTTATGGTTTCATTCCTTTGCAGGAGCATCAGTGATGTTGTTTTTCGTGCTCCGGAAGCCTAAGCAAAGAGCGCTGAAA